AGGGGGAAAGGAATATGATCCCGCATTTTGATTTTGATTTCTATGAGAGGTACGTACGAATGCAGCATACCTTTTTTTATAAAGAATATTCATAGAATTCATCCAAGTTCGAATTTAAAGAATAAAAAAAACTTTTTAAGGTATGCTATTGAGTAACGTACCGTATTGGCACCCCCACCACCACCACCACCACCGCCGCCACGATGGGAAGACAAAACGATTAAAAAAAAAAAAAAATTTATAAAATACTTAACCGAGACTGCACGAAAAAAAAGGTGTTAACAAACCTCACATACAATTTGCGGTCAAATTATTAGCTCCCACCCCCTTCCTCCCCCCGAAAAAAAAACAGAGGAAAGAAGAATACCATGCATGAGAAATTACGTCAATTTGTTGACCATCTTTTGAAAATTTTTAAAGTCACCACCAAAACCAACAAAATTTCCTTTAGAAAAATTCTTTTATTGGATTTACTGCGATATAATTTTTCACAACGTTCGATCTCGTTCTATTTTAAATCGATTTTTAACAAAAAAAAAAACGATTACGATAATCGATCGATTTTATCGAAATCGTTATTATTAAAATCCCCGCGTACGATTCATTTTAATTACCTTTTTTGCAAACCGGCAAACGAATAAACGAATAAGAAAGCAAAAACGCCGCTTCCTCTGAGGTATACTTTATTGAAACGATTCATCGATCGATCCATCGATTTTCCCTTCGAGAGTCAAAAAATAAAAGACACAAAACCACGACCTACCACGAATCCATACGAAAACTTTTTTTTTTTTTTGGGGAGTTCGAAATCGTTGGGAAAAAAAAGTCAAAATCGATTCCGCAACATCCAATTAAATTAATTATTAAATAATTAAAGAGCACCGTCATCCCCACCACCATCACCACCACCACCACCACGATGACGCTGATGATGATGATGATATTCGTCTTGTTCGATTCGATTTTTTCTATTAAAAGTTTAAAAATAAAAAATTGTGTGTGCGTGTGCGTGCGTGTTACGGTTAATATAAGAATTAAATCGAACAAACAACACATAACAAAAAGTTGTTGGTTTTAATATCGCACTGAATTTTTTATTGTTCGAACACAAACACGTGATTCAGACAAACATTAACAAGACAAAGTTTTTTATTGTGCGAGTCACAAGTCGGAGAAAAATTTTTTTTTTTTTTAAAAACTTTACAAAGTAAAATTAAAATCACTTTTTCTTCTTCTTCATCTTCATCTTTCTTTTTACTACTATTACTATCATCATTATTATTATTATTATTATTATTATCGACATCGTTACGACATTTTTTTTTTTAGCGTGAATAAACGACGCGGCGATAAAAAAAAAAAAAAAAATTTTTTTTTTCCAAACGAAAGTACGAATACTTGTTAAAAACCGACTACGATAGTATTATTATTATTACTACTACTACCTAAAAACGATAATAATGATAATAATAATAACAAATACGAAATTTATCAAAAGGCATTGACCTCTCGACCTCCAATTCCTTTTGACGTTTCGCCAGACGAACGAAATTACGACGACGACGACGAGTGACGAGTGACGATTTTTTTTTTTTTTTTTAAACAAACGAAATGATATTTTTTTTTTGTCATTGTCCAAAATTTATGTTTTTCTCCCACGTCCTGGAATTTTAAAAATTTCGCCCCTCCTTCCCCCTTCCCCCCTCCCCGAAAAAAACAATGAATTAAAATAAACAGTTTCTAAAAACATTTAAACAAAAAAAAACACTTTCCATTCCTTCCCTCCTTTCCACCTCTCTTTCCTCGCCTTTTAAATGTTTTTTAAATGTAAAACTTTTCTTTTTTTTTTTTTTGTTTTGCCTCTTACAATGTCGACGACGACGACGATGACGATGATGATAATGATAATAAATAAATAAATAAGTAAAAAAAAAAAAAAGAAGGAGGAAGACCGAGTGATTTATCGAGTAGTGAAAATGAAAAGAATGAATGACAAAACAAAAAAATAAAATACGATTGTAATCATTGGCAGTAATAATAATAATAATAATAATAGTGATGATGATAATAATGATAATAATAATAAACACTTTCTTCGTTTCTTAAAATTCTACTCTTAATTTTTTTTGAATTCAAAAGGTAAAAAAAAAACTATAAAATGGGGGGGGGAAATAAAATCCCTGCCATAATCTTCTTTTGTTACCTTTCGTCTGAATTTTTTTAATGCAACAATGAGTCTGAAAGGGCAAACAACAGCCAAAACAACCAAACTACCCTTCGAGGCACCTGCTGTCAGTCAGTCAGACATTCAACCTGAGGGTACGAAAACATTACACACATTATTCACAAAACAACAACAACAACCGCGTCGATTATTATTTATTTCGGTCAAGTGAATGAATCAATAAAAAAAAAAAAAACTCGACATTTTTTTTTTTTTTTAAATTTGTTTCAATGAAAAGTTCAGGTGATGACCACCATTTTTATTTTCCATTTGTGTCATCACTCATTTCCGATAACAAGTCAGTTCATTCATCCGAAACATTTTTCACGGGTTTCACAATGAAAACCAGAAGACGACGACGACGACGACGACGATGGCGACGCGGTAAACGTGAAACATTCAATACACGATTCCGCCATTTTTTTTTGAAACGTTTTTTCGATTTGAGTAAATTTTCTCATGATATATATAAAAAATTAATGTTGACATCTTTATTAACCCCTCTCTCTCTCTCTCTCTTGCGACAATTATAATTAAATATTAAGAAGAAGAAGAAGAAGAAAAAACACCAAATGTTTCATATTTTTTTATTCATTATTGAAAATACAATCGTGATTCATAATGTCCTACGTTCCCGCCGTTTACATCACAAAGTTTTTCCACGATATTCAACGGGGGAGTAAAAGGAGGGATAGGGGGAGGAAAGAGAGGGGGGGAAATATTCGTTACAATACCGAACATTGTTATTATCATTACCATCGTCTTAGAACAAATGCACATTTTCTTTCTTTTTTTTTTTAATTATAGAAAATAAATTGCATTGTGTGCATTCGACGAGGCCTCATCAAAAACGTTAATTAAAAAATGATTAACGGATAATAACGAAACGCGTTCGTCTTGTTGCAAAAACGTTTTGTTTTCCTTTTCGAGAAAGCGGTGAAACGAAACGATCGACGACGACTACGAGAGATTTTTTTTTTTTTAAATTTTTCCACTCACATTGTTTCGTTTAAAAAAAAAAAAAGTTGGGGGTTTCGGAGGAGAATAATAAAACTATAATAATAATAATAGTAATAATAATAATAATAATAATAATAATAATAATAATAATAATAATAAAATCGTCCCACGTCATTCATCATAAAATGGTTCATCTTTGATAACTTGGTTTTTCATAATAACTCTTACTTACTTGCTTATTACACATCAAGGCTCCTGCCATATGTCAAAATTTAATTCTGACATTTTGTAATTAGATCACTTTGTCTATGCCCGCATCACGCGCACGCACTCACACTCACACGCAACCACGCACGCACGCACGCACGAACGCACACACACATAAAATTTAAAAAAAACTAAAAAATTCTATGTGAATGATTAAAATATAATAAGTTTTTTATTATTATCATTATTATTATTATTACTACCACCACACTCAAAGAAAAGAAGCGAACGTTTTCAAGTGAACGTTTTTTTTTTTTTTTTTTAATAATTTTTTCGACGAGTTTAACGACCTCGTTATATTAATAATAATAATAATAATAATAATAATAATCGAAAACGCTTTCGGCAATAAAAAAAAAAACATTCAATCGACGCCATATTAAAAAAAAAAAACCATCCCTTTTACAAGGGTTAAAAACGAACGAACGAACGAACGGGGCTTTATCATAATCATCATCATCATCCCACATATGAAACCTCTTGAACGTGTAAAGCCCCAAATAGCGATGATAAAAAAAAAAAAAAAAACATGGAATCCGTTTAAGTGGGATATTAATAATAATAATAATAATAAAGAGGAAAAAAAAGAACGAAAAAAAAAAAATCAATGAAATTCATAATCGTACAAAAATCAAACGCGAAAATAATAATAATAATGATGATGATGATGATGATGATTATAGTGGTGCTTGTAGTAAAATTAATAGTTAAAAAAAAAAAAAAGAAAAAGTATTACGAAAATTCACGAGTAGTAGAATGAAGGAAGGTGTTTTACATGTTATAGTCACGTGACAAACAACCAAAAAATCAAAACTCGTGATTAAAAAAAAAAAAAAATATTTATAGGCGCAAAATTAAAGCGAATAACGTGAAGAATTTGAAAAAAAAAAAAAAATTTCTCGCAGGCACACACCTGTTTTTTTAAAGAACCGGCCGAGTTGTTCAAAAAAAAAAAAAAACGTTTGTAAATCGTTATTCAAATAATAATAAAACTATCGATATAGATATTTTTTAATGAAAAAATTACAGTGTAAATAACGGTTAGAACCACGATCGTTAACTACTCATTCTTTCCTCGAGTCTCCCTTTCCCCCCCCCCCAGTTAATTTAAATAAAATGCGAAATTCGATTACGAAACCTGTTTTTCCCCTTCCCCCCATTCTCTCGTTTTTACCCTGTCTCTCTCTCTTTCCCCCTTCCCCCTTGCTCATTTTCTTCTTCCACGTCTTTTCGACTAAAGCCAAAAAGAAAACTAAACGACAATAAGCAAACACATTCGCGAATGAATGAATGAATGAATGCATGCAAAAAAAAAAACATTCTTCGACGTTGATTCATTCCTTACAAGTGCTTACGTCATCAATTCCATTTTCGTCCTCGGCACATATAAATAATGAAAGAGAAAATAAAAAAAAAAAAATTTTCCATTTTCATATTTTCGTGTGCCAGAGTGCACGCACCTAACCAACTACTTAGTCAGGCTTAACCGTGGCCGATTGAACCCGACAACGCACGCACGCACACACACACACACACACATCACGACCGGTTATTCGTCGCGATGGTAAGAAAGACCCCGAAAACATCTTTCCTCCTCCTCTCCCCACTGCTCCCCTCCCCAACCTCCATTAATCCCGTAAAACTTTTCATACATATGTATGAAAAAACCTTCGGGATTATAAATTAAGAAGCTTTTAGGAAATGAAAATAAAAAAAAACATCATTCTTTTTCTCGGGGGGAGGGGCGAAGGGGAAGGAGGGGGGGTCTTTAACGACCACGATCGTAAAAAAAAAGTCTAACCGGACGTCTTTCCGTAAAAAGAAACGACAGGAAAAACACAAAAAGAAGAAAAACAAATCGCACTCGGTTGTTGTTTTATTTTCTTCCATTTTCAATCACGTGATCGACAAAATCGAAAAGTATGCAGTTAAGTTGGCACGTCTGTAACCGGGTGCCATGTTCAAAAATTTATTTTAAAAAAACCGAAACCGAACGAATGGAGGGGGGGGGGATACGAACAAAAACCTTTCAAATAAAAATAAAAATAATACTAAAGATAATAATAATATTTTAATTATTTACCTGTTGCCAGTGATCCTCCAGCGAGGGCTCCGATGAAAAATATCCAGTATCGTGTATGGTCTGGAGTTCTCTGAATATGTTTCCGCTCGGTAAGATATCCATTTTGAACGATAAGATACGACAACGACAACGATTTTCGAAACAATAATAATAATACTAATATCCGAAACGATTCGCGAATAATAATAAAATTGCACTTTTACTACTACTACTTTATTATTTACTTACTCCGTTTGAAAAAAATATCGATAAAATCAATAATTAATTAAAATCGATTATTAATAATAATAATAATTTAAAAAACACTCGCGCGCGCGGGGTAATTTTCACCGGCAAATCGCGAAAAAAATTATTATTATTATTACTTTTTCACTCCTCGTCGTCGTTCACCACTTACTCTTATGAGTAGGAGCACAACAACAAAAAAATAGGAAAAGCTCGAACCGAGACGAATCGAAACGGAAAAAAACGAAAATGCACGAAGTAATCGGGGAAAGAGGGGGTACTTAAAACCCCTTGTAAATATAAATAATATTTAACGAGAAAGAAAAAAATAAAAAAAACTTTTCGAAACGTTCGCGCGCGCGGGAGGACGACGACGAACGACGACAACGACGACAACGACGATTTCCCGTTTTTGTTTATTATTATTATTATTTTTTTTTTTTTAAACTAGTTTAAAATATTCTTTTATTTTCACACCGGAAATAGAAATTATCGACGAACGCCGAACTATTTCCGAACGCCGTTTTTAAAAAAAAAAAAAATTCGCCGCGTTCACTTACTTACGTATGCACTTTTTTTTTAAAGTAGAAAAACACGATTGGGGGGGGGGGAGGCAGGGAAAAACAACACCAACAATAACGGATTTCCGGATAAACGATTCCGATTTTTTTCCTCCCCTCTCTCTCTTTCTCTTTTCTCCCTCTCCCTCTCTCTCTGAGAACGTGGAGAACAGGAAGGAAAATACACAATCGTAATATAAAAAAAAAATTTCTTCTTTTCCTTTTTCTTCTTCTTCTTCTACCCCCGACTTTATCATTCGGGATTCAAATCGTACATGTGTGCGTGTGCGTGTAAAAAACGAACGGAAACAACGTATAAACAAAAAAAAAAAAAACGTTCGCACGCACGCACGAAAATAAAAAATAAAATAAAAAAAAATCCGTTCGAATCTTATTTTCCTTCTCTATCTCTATCTCTCTTTCTTTCCTTCCTTCCTTCCTTCCTCTTCTTTTCTTAACGACGATGTTGATAATGATAATGATAATGATAATAATCACATACGTAAAACTCGTAACGTAAAAAATGCATTCCAAGTCGTCGTTTTCGTTTTTTTTACGTTTCAAAATTATTATTATTAATAACGATAATAATAATAATAATAAAAGAAAATTATCACTCGCGAATGTAAAACGGTCTAGAGTCGGAAAAATATATATTATTATTATTATTACGTAAAATGACGATGATGATAATAATAATAATAATAGTAGTAAAAATCTTCAGACGGTGGCACTTTTCTTCTTATTCTTTTGATATTCAATTGTTGTAATAATAATAATAATAATTACAACATAACTAGTCTGACACGAGGAGACACACGATCACTCTCGTTCTTAATCTTTTCTTTTCTTATTCTTTTATTACTTATGGTATTAATTATATGTTTAATGTTTTATTTTGGGGGGCAATTAAATTTTCCACGACGATGACGACGATTTATTTATTTTCCTCCTATTGAAAAAATAATAATGATGATGATGATAACAGTAAACGATGTGTAGTAGTAGTTGGAGTATGGATATTCCAGTTACGACCGTATATGATGGCGTATGATTGTTGATACATGTGTATTTGTACGAACGGACGCACGCACTTTTTAAAACACGCACGAACGCACGCACTTACTCACTTACTCACAAGTAATAAGTAATAATAATAATAATAATAATTTCAGCAACACTATTAAACAATCAATCACTCACTATTATAATCGTAAGTATTATTATTTAATTATTATTCACTGATTGATTGACTGACTGATTGAGTTTTCGTTAAACATTTTTTTTTATAAACGCCACAATATAAGAAAACATTTTTTTTAACGGAAAGTTTCGTTTTTATAAAATTTTTTTTACAAAAAATGAGAAACCGTATTCACTTAACAGACACAATCGATTGAGAATATATATGTGTGTATGTATATGTATATCGAAAAATATTAATAAAAAAAAATTACGCACGCGATAAAAAACAAATAAAACGAAAAAATAAATAAATAAATAATATTAATAAGTCGGTAGTTTAAATAAATAAATTTAAAAAAAAAATAATAATAATAATAGTGGTTAAATCCAATTGTTATAAAATGTTAACTAACGACTTACAGTAATGGCGTCTAACACAAAACTGCTCGTCTTGTAATGCGCAGACTAGACTCGTCCGACGACGGCCGGATGCCAGAGAAGGAGAGACGCGCTATAGAACGTTCTATTACAATATCGAAATTATTCTTAATTGAATTTTTATCGCCGTAAGATAACCGTGTGAGTCATGTTTCTTCGTAAAATTTTAAAAAATTTTTTTAATTTCTCATTCGACCGTTAGGCGGCATCACGATCGGATTTTTTGAATAAAATTAAATAAAAAAAAAAAAAAAAAAAAAAAATTTCTTACATATCTTCGTCGTTGGATTATACAGACATATATATATTTTTCTTTTTCTGTCTTCTTTCTTTTTTTCATTCTCTATCTCTCTTTCTTCTTCTTTCTTATTCGAATTCTAAAATGTTTAATTCGTGATTATTATTATTATTAATAAACGCGGATAAAATAAAGTGTGTCAATTGATTAAAAAAAAAAAAAAAATGAAAGTAATTAAATTTTATTTTTGGAATTTTAATATTTTAATTGGACCTTTTAAATTGTTTCCCCCTCTCTCTCTCTCTCTCTCTCTCTCTGTGTGTGTGTGCGTACGTGCGTGAGTGAGTGAGTGCGTGCGTGCGAACAAACATGGATTAAACAAACGTTTTCATTTATTTTATGATAAAATATATTCTCTCTCTCTCTCTCTCTCTCTCAACTTCAACTTCTTCTTCTTATTTTTTCTTTTTCGTTAACGTTTGCCATTAAATGATAATTGTAAAGAATGATTCTTTTCTTCGTAAGAAGACATTACGATTATTAAAGGATTTCCACGACGAAAAAAAATTTGTACTTCACCGAGTATAAATGTAAATGTATAATTTGACGATGATTTGATTCTTTTTATTATTAAAAAATAATTGATTTATTGATTAAATATAATTGTACCTAAAGACAATTACAATATTAAAAAAAAAAGCATAATAAATACAAAAAACAAACAAACAAACAAACAAACAAAAAAAAAAAATTATACGTGTGACTAGAACGTGTGAGCGTTACGACAAACACCGCAGCCTAAAGCAAATTCTTCTCCCGTCGGTGGATGGCTCACGTGGAGAGGACATTCTTCACCGTCCAATTGTTTGGCTTTCGGTCCTGAAACACAACCATTTCGATTTTTTTCGAATGGCCAAAAAAAAAAAAAAGTATAATAATGCCACGTCGTAGTACCTGCGGGACAAGCGGGAAGATCGCTTTTCGGTATGTTTGTCACGCGTTGAAAATCGTCGTGACACGAATTGCAAAAATGAGTCGTGCCGAAGCAGAAAAAAACTGCCACGGAACAACAGTACCGGCATTTGTATTCTAAAAAATCAGTGCCGTGTTTGGGACACATTTGAGCTCTGGCTACGTCGCTGCAACCTCCGCAAACCAATTCTGACGGATCGAAATCTCCATTCATGTCAACGTCGCACCTTGCTTCGCCTCCGTAATAAGCCTTCGGATTGAAAAAAAAAAAAAAAAAAAAAACGTGTGATCCTTTGCCCGATTTGACCAAGTTGTTGTTGTTGTTGTTGTTTCATCTACCCACCTTGTTGCACTTGAAACAAACGTAATAAGCATATCGATCCATTGCGTAAGAAGCTGGATCGTTGAAAAATTTTGCGCTCGGAGTCGTTATGGCGACGGCCCTGTGTAATCCCTCGTATTCCAATCTCATCAATGCTTTCCTTTTGACGTCTTCGTAGAGTTCTTGAATGGGTTTGAGGAGTTCGGCGAGCACGGAATGTTTCATCGGTGATTTGCATATGGGACATTGGGAAAATGAAAATGTTATTCTCGGACCTGCCCATCGTCGAACGAGAGCGTTTCGAGCACAGTGAGCGTGGAAAACGTGTCCGCAGTGAAGTTGAATCGAGGGAGCACACGAGAGAGCTTCCGTGAAACATATCATGCACATGTCGTCTGCATCTTGTTTAAGGCTAGGACTACCCTTGCAATTTTGTAAACACGGCAAACAAACGACTTCCCCGGCCAAACCGTTACAAACGTGACCGCACGGATGAATCTTTAGAAGGAAAAAAAAAATTCAGTATCCTTTTCTTCCAGACAGAGAGAGAGAGAGAGAGAAAAACATTTTAACGACCTTATTACAAATATTTTTAGCGTGTTCTTGGCATTCTTGATCGGCACAAACGTTACCGATAGCGAGAAGACCAGAATTACCAGTTGCACCACAAAATCTGCATACACCTGTACCGGCAGATTTGCTTTTCGAACCCTCTCGAAATTCAACCATGGCTTTGAGTGTGCACGAATCAGCCAATGCCAAAACCCAAAACAATTTCGTTCTACCGCAGCCTGAAAATCGTAATAATAATGATAATAATAATAATAATGATAAAATTGCATTTTTAAAAACGAATGATGCATATTATATAATTTTTATTTTTTTTTATTTTTATACTCGACTCACCTTCGTGAAGGTCAACTTTAATTGCTTCCTCTTCTTCTTTGCAAACCTGTCTTTGATGCATTCTCGTTCTTCTATGGAGATGCAAATACCTGTCGCAGTCGGCGCATAAATTACCGCAAACGCTACATTGAATAATTGCTCCGGTTACGTTATCATCGTGATTAGTGCACGTGGGCTGACAAGAAATAATAATAATAATAATTTTTATGTTAATTATATTATTATTAATAATAATTCTGAAGAACATTTTCTGTTCTGTTTAAGCTTACTTTCGGCGGAGGGGGTTGACCATCTGATCTGCTCCATTGCCCCGAAGATAACCTGTCGACGTGATCTTTATCTAAAACACAAAGCGATGCCAAAGCCAGCCAAAGAGTCGGAGTTTTTAAACACTCGTTCGGACCCCGTTGAGACTCGTTTAATTTCGTGAGATTTATTATATTTTCGGCTATCGCTCCTTTTGTAACGGTCGCCCAAGCTTCCGACAATTTTCCCTGTCGAAAAAAAAAAAAAAAAAAAAACTCGAAATCAAAAAAAAAAAAATTTTTTTTTTGAAATGTCTGGGAAATTCTAATCGACTACACTCACGGCGGACATGTCGTTTAATAGTTGAATAATATCTTCTGCTAATTTTCGCGAAATGCAACCCCTCAACCACCATCTTAAACCCATCGGATCTCTCGGATGAATGGCCGTGGCAAGAGTGACCATCGTGATTCCTTTAACTTCTCTTCCTTTGACTTTAACTTGAACCGTGAGCGATTTGGCAACAACGCTTAGAAAAACATCTAAAATCCCAATTTTATAAACGTCGAAATTTTGCTGTTTACTTCCGGCTGATATTATTGAGAAATCCGACGGCGGAAGTTTATCGACACCCAAAACGTTAGCCAAAGTTTCGGGCGACACTTCCGGCAAAACTCGGCGAAGCAAAGCCGTCACCTAAAATTTACGTTTTCGACGGTTTTATCACGACGGGTGCGTTTTCGTTGGGCCACATCTACTACTACCACCCCTCTCAGTAAAGAGATTTTACCTGTCTTTGAACCCTTGCAGAACCGGTATGAAGCAACGATAACAAATCGGTTAACAATCCGTATTGATGAGATAAGTAAACCCTTCCGACCGAACTACCACTAAGAGCGAGAACCATAGAAAGCATTTCGAAAGCATACGTGTCGGAAGGTTTGGTTTCCGACGGGACCGGTGAACAAAGAAGGCATTCCCATTCTTCTCGAACACGGGAAGTTTCCTTCCGGATCGCGTGCACGATGTGCATGCAAACTTGTTTTTGTAAATGAGTGAGCTTCGATCGGCTAAATAATATTCCGACCATGTGTTCTTTCAAGTCGTTGTTGTCTTCCATACGATCATCTTCCGGTTCGGACTGTTCTTCGCTTTCTCCAATTATTAATTTTCCAAATACCTAAATCAATCAATTAAAAAAAAAAATTTCAAAATTTTTATAAGAATAATTTTGGTCTTCCATTTTGTTCTTCGGATAAACGAAAATACCTGTGACGTAATCAAACGAAACACTTTGAGCGTTTCTAACTCGCACAATTTTTGTTGAATGGTCGTTCCACTCCTTTGAGGAACGATCAAATTTTCACCGGATTCTCCCAGTATCCTTACTTGTCTTATTCTCAACGAATTATCCGGTCCTTTCAACTCCAATTTGATGACCTCGTGCCTACCGTCTGTGAACAAATGAAAAAAAAAAAAAAAAAAACAAAATTATGCATTTCGAGTTTTTAAAAACTGACATAAACATTTTTTTAATTAGGACCTGAACGGACGAACCTGAAATAGAACTGCTTATCCAACCGGTCGATCGACTTTCAACTTCCACTTGTCTTATCTTTTGTAATTTTTCCGCACTTGGCCCCGATAAAAAAGTCACACTCGCGACTTTGTTCTGCATATACAAAAAAACCGTTTTTTTTTTTTATTTTTATTTTTTTCTACTTCCACTTCAATTTTTTGTTTACAACTCACCGCTAAATCTCTGCAATTATCAATGTGTATATAAATGACTTTGGGTTTAGAATCTTGCGGACACGTCAGCGTTATGGTTTTCGTTTTGTTTCTATCTTCGTCTCCGCTTTCCCAAAACGTTTCCGTTGAATTGTCCGTCAGCGACCCGATCATTGCTTGTCGTGACGACACTTTAATTTCAACATCCGGAGTTAAATCTCTTAGCGCTTCGACTAGTGTATTGCTCGGATACTGTAACAAAAATTGCGAGCTTCGTTCGGACACCCATCGAAGAAGAAAAAAAAAAAAATGGAAAAAAATGATTTCACCTGGGAAATTCCAGACTCGTGCAAGCTCATGGTAATTTCGTCCGATTCTTCTTCCGAACGTGATAAAATTTTACTTATGTTATTAAAAACTTGACACCTGTGTAAAAACCCGTGATCGACTTGGGAAAATTTTAAACTCCAACAGCGTACGGCCATGGTTTGCAATGCGCACGACGGCGGTAGTAAAAACATCAAATCCGCAACGGTTTTCAAAAATTGATGAAAAGCTTTCCAGAGGGGAATGGCAGCATCTCCGGCAAATGTTATGTCGCTGAGTGGATGATCGCAGGCTTTTAATATTTCCCCGTCATCTTTTTTTATTTGGTCTTCGATCGATTCAACTTCCAAGGGCGTAGACGATTGGGAAAGTGACGCGACGAACCACCAGAGTAAATCGTGCAAGCAAACAGGTTGAGTCACGTTACGTAGGAGCCAATTAAGAGCTTGAAAAGCGTACAACCTTAAAAATCGAAAATATTTACTCTTTCTTTTTTCTTTTTTTTTTTTTTTTAATTACGAGGGGAAAAAAAATATGGCGGCGATATGAAAGTGAGTATCTACCTGCACGTGGCTTTCCGAATGGAATGTTTCATGGCGAATCTCAAAGCAAAAATGGGATGACGATGTAAAATAAATGACACCGACGGTCTTTTAAGCAAATCTAATGCACCCCTTTCTTCGTTACTTATAATGGCAGACTCGTCTAAACCCGGTATGAGCTTTTGAAGTGTGGCCGAAGGCCGGCACAACAATGACGATCCTCCTTCTTTCGAGAGAGTAAAAAAAAATCCATTGAATCCTCTTCGAAAGCTAAATAAAAAAAAATTCACAATCAACTTACCAGACATGAATTCACCACTGCTACTGTTATTTCTTTTCCTTGTCAGAATAACTCGACCATCGCTGTCTTTTTTAGCCCAAGGTATGACGCTTGTACCCATCGATACAGATCGATGAAATAACCTACCCTTCTGGTTGTCGGAATCGCTTTCATCAAACTAAACGAAAAAAATATTTTAGCTCGTCTTTTTTTTTTTTTTTTTTTTTTAAATTTAATCGACGAGTAATAAGTCTTACGTACCCAAGAATTAGGTTGAAAGTTTCCGTTGCAGCTTGGATCTAGCTCGTGTGGTAATTGTCTTTGTAAAACTTCTTGAAGTTCTTGTTCTTTTAAGTGAGATCCCAACGCTGTCAAGCACTGAAATGAACCGACGGGGGAAAATGGTCCAGGAGGATCGGGAGGACTTTGGTTTTCGCTTATTAGAGAAACTAGCGAAGCCACAGATCCAACTCCCGATCTTTGCTGTTGGTTTGACAAAACTAAAATGGACGTATAAATTGTTATAGAAAAATAATAATAACCTGAATTGTTATAATAATAATAATAATAATAATAATATTCACCCAAATTAGATGAGCAAGCCAAATCGAGTAGGAACATTGCATTTTCTTTCATAATAACGTGACCTTCCGTAGAAGAAACGCTTTGACCGAACACGGGCGAGGTTAGGGGAAGAACGTTTGGCACGGGGGCAATAATAGCTGCCTTCTTCTTTGCGCTGCTTTTCTTTTTGTCCTTACTTATCAAAAGCCCTTCTTTTTTAAGTTTTACATATTTTTCCCGGCAATTATCGCACAGCAAATACCAAGAACTCCCTCCGACGGCTCCCTCCCCGCAATGTCCCGCCCATCCAACGCTATAATTTCCGCTGGAATTGTAACCCTTCCCTCCCGTAGGTCCTCCGCAACCGGGATGATTTTGTCTCATGTGATGCGTGACGGGATGAAGGTAAAGACCGCCGCACAATTCGCAAAACGTTTCTTTTTCGTTTCCGGAATTAATTAAAGGCGCCATTACTTCACAAGCTTCACCTAAAACGTTAAGTCTTCCCAACGGTCTCCAATCTTTCTTTTTCCTACTGCATCTTTTTCCCTCGGGTTTACTTTTACCTAAATCCACGGTTTTTTTTATCAGTAATTTTTCTTTGTTTAACGACGCCGCGTTTCTAGAAAACTTTGATGGTAATAAAGGACTCGGAGGAAGAGTCGGTTGTTCGAAAGCTTTTAAGAAAATCGATGAAAGTTCTTCCCAAACTATAACCAATCCTTTCAATGCCGGAGGTAAAACGGAAACGGTTACGACACCATTATCTTTTTTAACGTCACTCATCTTAATCTTATTTATATTATCGGACGCACACAAATCTTTAGATTTTAAAGGTTCCACTGGCACTTCTTCCCTGATAGAAGCCTCCTGCGGAGATTGCTTTCTTCTAAGTCTGTTAGCGTTGGCGTTGGCGGCTGATCTAGTAAGACTTTCTAAAGCGGCGGGCTGTATGTGAAGGTAAGCACCTAAAGGGAGTAGATTTTTATAACAAGTTTCTCTTAGGAAATAAAATAAAAAAAAATTTTTTTTTTTTTTTTTCACTTGCCTGACGTGCTGACTTCAACCGAATGCCTTTGATATTGTCTTTGCTCTTTAGACAATTCTTGTTTCGTCGTATTTACAGGTGTGGCAATTTTCCGCGTGACGACCAAAGCTCCCTCTTTGGGTAGAGTCGGATGAAATTTTAAAAACGACGCACAAGCCATCGCATCGTGAACGATACCTTCCTGCCATAAAAAAGCGGAAAAAATCGCTCTGAGACTTTCTGCGACCGAAGGACTCATTGCTTCCTTGACGACATTTTTGTCTCCGCTTCCAGATACCTGATACGGAAATTTTTTTTTTTTTTAATGTCAAACTCTCGATTTCTCCGAAGAACAAAAAAAAAAAAAAAGCTACGTCAATCTTAATTACTTGGGGAGCAGGAGACATGGCTCTTTTGGCACTTCTTCCAAACACTCTTTCCTTTCTTAAAAATTTCGGAGAAATCCTTTCTTCTTTCGTTCCGACGGTTCCTATATTAAAATGACTTTTCACCGATCCACCACACGTTTCCTCGGGACTCGTTTGCGTCCCTGCTTGAGTCACGGCTTTAAAATTACTGGACGAATTTAAATTCAATTCTTTTTTCGGACTGTCTCCCACCATGTCCATTTCTCCATCTTTCCGAACTGATGAAACGCAACAAAAAAAATTTTTTAAATTTCCCCTTGGCACAGCTATTTTTTTTCAATCCCACCATAACATTTACCTCCAGTCAAATCGTCCATCGTGTAATCCCTTTTAACGGGACTCGAAGAACTGTGACTGGGACTCGGAGACAAATCTTTCGTCAACGGAGATTGGGATAAGTCTCGAGTCAAACTGCTGACGAGCGCGCTTGTATCGCTTTGTGTAGATCCCCTTCTCTGAGATGCTATGCTGCATTGAGAATCGATCAACGCACCACCGGAAACTGACAATTTTTTCGAACGATTCCAATCAATAAATAAATCGAAAATCCGTTTAAATAAATTAAAATAAAAAATTTTACAGGGTTGCCAAACATTATAAAAACAAGTAAAAGAGCTTACCCAACTCCACCCTATAAAAATTATTATGTGTTTAGGAATATTGACGGGATTTTTAACGTCTTCTCGACCGCGTTTTTTTACAACAGAACATTCTAACAAGAAAATAATAAAAAATAATAAAGAGCATGCACAAGGTAATAAAAAATAAAAAAAAACAAAAATAAGCGCAGATGAGTATGACGATAATAATAATAATAATAATAAAATAAGTAATAAATTCCTACCTAAAGGAGAATAACCCAAGCTCGCGGGAGTCGAAGGCCCTGGTCCCGATGTCGAAGTACGAGGGCTTCTTTTTCTACCGCCGCCTAATTTTATGTTTTTTTTTTTTTTTTTATATATTAAAAAAAAAAAAAAAAAAAAAGAAGCAAAGAAAAGCGAAAATTATTATTCTCCTGTTTAAAATTTTCCGAGTTTAAAAAAAAAGGAAAATTAACATTTAATAAAAGAATAAAGACAGTTTTGGTAAGAATACGATTCGATTAAAAATCCATGCAAAATTAAAATTTAAAGAAAAAATTACTTGGTACTGGAAGAGGGCTGGAACTTTGACTAGTTTTTTCCGTGGCGTCTCCGTGAGGGCTGTTCGTGACGTAAGGGGTCTGAATGTTGGGACTCGAACTTCTCGATGAGAAAACGTGAGTTCTCGGACTGTTGCTTCTTCCAGGATGAAATCCAATCGTTTTCGGACTCGAACTTCTCCTCGGTGAGACTCCAGAGGGGGTTTCTCCATTTCCGTTTATCCTACTTTCTCCGAGAACTTTTGCGACGTCCTTGACGTTTGCACCACCGTCACCGGATTCGAAATGAGAGTCCCTGATGCATTGCCATACATTTTTTTTGTTAAAGAAATTTCTTTTCGGTGTCTTTAACTTCGTGAGTTTAAGCACTTACCTGACTTTCATCGATTTGTCTTCTTCCTTTATCAATTTGTTGACATTTTTCTTATCAATTTTTAATTTCATATCTGGAGAACCGTAGCCGAAAACAAATGGATCACCCGACGCGTGAAACGATTGAGGAGGAGTCGTTCTGGGCGGCGTGAAAGAAAACGATGACATTTCACCCGCGACGAAATTTCCAGACGTGTTCGCCATTGTAAAATCGTAGCCTTTTTTCGGCGAAGAAGTTGCCGTCACGCCACCGATTTCCAAAGGTCCGACTTCCGAATTCGGTTCTCGTTGCAAGTACAATTCGTTGTTCGGACTTTGAGCTAATGACCATGCTTCCGTCACGTGATTAAAACAATATTTCGATGCTATTTCCGGATTGATTTTGACCCACGTTCCCTCGGAATTGATGACTTGATCGAGTACTTCAACTTGGTTTCCGAGAACCATCATTCCGACGGGAGGAGCTTGAAGACTCGGTTTGCTTCTTACGTTATGACAAGCGGCTCCGCATTTAACCACCGTGTATATGCCTGGAAAACCGGCTGAACTTCTGCAAGGAGAATTTGGGGGGGGGGGGAAATTTAATCTTCGTAATGTCGATGGTGCCAATTATTAAATTTTTAAGTCGTTCGCACCTACCTGTCCATTTTACTTCCGTCGTGTAATTTTTTTCCACTTTGATCCAACATTCTTTTGGAATCTTCAACGGGAACAAGTAATGTTTTTCCAAGGTGTTGATTGTACTGCAGACACCATGCTTCATTTATACCGTTGATTGAACCCGAACAATATTGTTTAATGCTTTCGTGATTCAGTCTCAGCCAAACGCCATCGTCATTATGAATCTACATAGAAAATCAACGATAAGTTATAAAAATTATTCAAGGCCCCCCAAATCTTTTCCTTTATTATTCTATTATAGACCTCGTCGATGAAAGCGATCGTTCCGTTCACGTCTACGACTCCAATTTGTTCGCTTTGAAGTGACGGATGAGCTCTAATTCTAAGTCCGGCACTATAACTCGTCACGAATCTTCTTATTTTGCTCGGTTGGTGTGACGTTTTTTTGACAACGCTTTGAGTTGGCGGAGCTACACCTTGCGGGGGTTCTTTGACTTCTGCTTTGTAAATCTAAATCAACACACACAGTCGAAATGAATGATTCGCGAGGGAAACAAATATCAAGGTGAGAATAAGAATAAGAGGAGAAAATCATGAGTCATACGTACTCCTTCCAACGGATACCCATCAATTGTCACAACGATGGAATACCATCCGGTATTAGACGGCGTCCAAGTTGCGCAATACGTTCCATCGTTGTAAGGCCTCACCAACATGTTTTCGCACGTTCTTTTGACCGAAGGACAAAAATACCGTAATTCTTCGAAAGAAAAATTTTCGAAAGCTTTCATCATCGTTATCGAATGATAGCAGATTTTATCTTCGACCGTGACTTCGTACGGAACATCGAGCGGGGGTTGAACGGATGCAGAGTCAACGTCTTCGACTTTTCTCACTTTTCTCCCGGCATCGAAATCGCCATCTTTCTTACCGATGGGCACGGCTTTCACTTCGATTTTAAGATTTGGCACGTGTACTAATTCGCTGTATTGATCCTTCGTCAATATGGTCACGACTATCGGCCAACCGCATCTCATGTCGTCGCGATTGTACAAAACTTCGCATTTGCTCGGATCCGCATAGGGATCGGGTTGAAGCCATCTCGCCAATCTTCCGCCGCTCGTGGACGGTGAGCATTGTATGAAATCCCGGAGGAAAAGTCTTTCGTTCGAATGACAGCTGTAATGACAAATCAAAGTCAAAATAAAAATTTTTGCAAAGAGAGAGAGAGAGAGAAAAGACAACAACAGCAACGACACGAAACTCGATTTAAAAAGGATTATTTCGTAAAAATAATAATGATAATATTTTAATGGACGGAAATAACATGCAAACGTTATTAAATGCATGACGTTTACAAGCTATTGTTACAATAAAAAGTCAGAAAGAGACAAAGATATAGAAGAAGAGAAAGAGGAAGAGAGTGAGAGAGAGATAGATGAAAATGGCTGACGATTCTCAATAAAACGATTTTTTACGAGTTTATGATTCCAAAATTGAAACTTGTATCTTTCTCTCTCTCTCTCTTTTTTTTTTTTATGGTTTTAAAATTCGTATATTTATTCGGTTTAAAAGATTATGTTATCGAATTTGTATACTGGAAAGAATAATAGAAAACAAATACCATGAATAATAATAATAATAATGATGATAATAATATTACTCATCCAGATTACGAATACGTAAACCGCAAAATAAATACAAAAAAGATTTCAATAATAATAATAATAATAATAATAATAAAAGCTAAATTGTTTTTTGAATGAAATCTACCAAACATGGCGTTAGTTACGGAGACCGCCGCATGGTTCGCTCCAATTCAATATTACAACTTCAACAAAAAAAACATGTTTCAATTAAATTAGTTTCAGTTTGGTAAACAGTTGTGCGCGACAAATATACAACAAACGCATAATAAAAAAAAAAAAAGTAAATTGTTTGTTATGTGATTTCGAGTGAGAAGGATCCGAAACAGACAGGAAAACATCAAAATCCTTTTTTGTTTTGTTTTGTTTTTACTGTGAAAGCCTTTATTTCTTTCCTTACCCCGCCGCGTCGGAGAGGAGGGAAATGGAAAAACGTGTAAAAGAATTTTTTTTAACCGCCATGACGAAATGACAGAAGTATTCAAAACAGGATTTAACACGGTCGGACGTTCGAAATGGAAAATGATGGCAGAGAAAAATGTCGGTTACAATTTGATGACAAAAAACGGGATTTGTCTATTTTTCATTCTCACGATCTGTGGTTCCTCTGTGGTTTCGGGTTGGGAAGAAGGTGATGACGCCGTGAATGTTATTTCCGTCGAAAACATGGATGCATTACTCGGGTTGCGCATGGTCACAGAATTAAAATCATTCGAGGGTTTTAAAATAAATAATAATAATAACGAAACGGGTGGTCCTTGGTTTTCGATCGCTACGGACGAACGCGACGATAATTTCAATAATAATAATAATAGTTATAACGAAAATAACAACAACGTCGTCGACGACAACGACGAAAACAACAACAACAATAAAAACGACGATGACCACAACCCTAACAACAACAACAACAATAGTAGTAGCAGCACCAGTTTAAACGAAACCGAACCTGAATCCGAACCCAGATCCAGAAGAATGGCTAATCCGATTCAAAAATTATTTCCAATCGGTTCCAGCAAACCCGAAGAAGACGATTTGTGTTCTACAATAGTTCATTGCGAGTGCCTTAAAACTGCTGGAAAAGATCATCAAATAATTTCTTGTAATTTTCATAACGACGAGAAGGTAGGTCACAATCAATCATTTCTATCTCTCTCTCTCTCTCTCTCTCTCTTTTTCTCTCTTTCTCTCTCCGACATGTAAACATCATCAAACAGCAGAAAAATAATAAAAAAAATTTTCTTCTTTTTAAAACAAAAAAATCCTCCAAACCTTCGTAATTATTATTATTATTATTATTATTATTTTTGACTACTTAAAAACCGGCTTCGAAAATAATACTGGTAGCAATAATAATAATAATAATGTTTAAAAATAAAAATCGATACCGTAGATGAAAGGAATCATACGTAACAACCTTAAAAAAAGAATGCAAGAGGAGGGGTAAAAAAAAATGGCGGTGTCGGTCGTGGTGGTTTTACCCCCCGAAAAAAAAAGGTTTTTTTGAATCCACACCACCCTTGTTTGATTAGTTACATTATTATTATTATTTATTTTTTTTTACATCCCTCAACATTTCGTTTTTTTTTTTTTAACTAACAAACAAAACTTTCAATACTTGAATTACCTTGTTTGTCCCTTCCCCTTCCCTTCCCCTCTCCTCCCCCTGCCTCCAAAAGGAAAAGAATTTTAACGTAATGAAATTTTTCAAATTCAACGGTTTTTTTTTTTTTTTTTTTTTTTTTTTGATCGTTTCCACGAATCGAATCCATTTATTGGCAACCGTTTGTTGTTTGTGTGGGTAAAAAAAAAAAATCCCTCGGGACGTAAACGTAATTATAAAAAATTCAAACAAGTCTACACAGAAACAAAAAAAAAATTCCCTTTCAACGTTTTCCCTCCCTCCTTCCCCCCACCCGCAAACAAAACAAAGTTTCGAGACGTGTCTTTAGAATTAAAAAAAAAAAAAACCTTAAATGATTTCGCAGAAAATAATAAAAATTAATAAAAAAATTTTTTCTCCTTCTCTTTTGATTTTAATTAAGCAACAACATCCGGAAAATTTTGTAATTCGATCCTTTTTTAACATTTCCCACATAATAATAATAATATTAATAATAATAAACAAACAAAATCTAATGAACGAACAAACGAACGAACGATAAACTCTGTGGGAATCTGCCAACCAAGAATATTTTAAATATTTTCAGGTACAATAGCAGACGGAAAAAAAAATTATTATTATTATTCAAGGAAAACACGTTGACTAAATTTTATCATTATCATTATTAATGAATTCGCATAAATATAAATTAAAAAAGAGTGAGAGACAGAGGGAGAGAGGAAGGGAGAAAGAGAAAACATGTGTACATACATATATGCGGGGGGATTCGTTTCTACGATTTTTTTTCTCCATAGCGATCGACAGAGAGAGTGAGAGAGAGCATCGTAACCGGTGGAAAAGTGTTTAAAAAAACAGGACCGTAACCTGGAAAACCGTCAAGCTCGCAAATGTCAAAACATGAAAAGAAAATTTTAAATTCTATGAATGATGACAAATTCAAAAATAATTATGTAAATCACTTCTTATTAAATTGCAAATGAGATTTGTCGTATAAAAAAACGTTAAAATCCGAGACGGTGGGAGGGGAGGGGAAACGAAAAAAAAGGGGGAATTCTTCCCTCCACTCCCGTTTTTTTTTTTTTTTTTTTAACATCCCTCATTAAGTCCCGTAAAATCTTTGAAATCTCACCGATGGAAAAAACATTATCGCGTGTCTTCGGTTAACGTTTTTCTACTTCTCTATTGTACCCCCTCCCCTACCCTCCCCTCTTTCCCACGCATCCGACCAAATGCCGGGAAAAATTCTATCGACGTATTATTATTATCATTATTTTAAAAACTAATGTTTATTATTATTATTCTAGTGATTTCGAACCGATATATTTTCTTTCGGGTCATTTCATAATAAACGAATCATTATTATTATTTTTTTTTTCTTTTTTTCTCGGGCCCGCGACGAGCGACTTTATCCAAACAGACAGAATAAATAATAATAATAATAACAATGATGATGATAATGATGATGAATAAATAAATAAATAAATAACTCAATGTTTTCTTTTTCTTTTTTCTTTTCGAGTTTTATAAATTCGAAAAGAAAAAAAAAGCAGAAAACAAAAAATTTTCCAGATGTGATTCTTTTCAATTATCATCATCATCATCATCATCATCATCATCATTATTATTATTATTATTAAATAATCAAAAACGAGTTTGTGAAACGTCACTTATAGTCCTATTAAACAATTTTTTAAATTGTTTTCGGTTAAAAAAAAAAAACAAAAAAAAAATCTCAACGTTTTCCAGTTTGTTTTTCAAATCCGACCCCCTCTCACTCTCTCTCTCTCTCTCTTCCTCCCTCTAAATACAAATAATAATAATGATAATAATGCAAGACGATAACAACAACGGATTGCAGACTTGAAGGATTCCACTACTAGTATAGATTTTAAAAACATTAAAAATAAATTAATCGGAAACACTAGAGAAACGACGATGATAATGATGATAATGATGATGATGATGATGATTATAGTAAATAAATTCCCCCGAGACGAACGAGTCGTAATTAAACTAAAACGTTTCTCTCTCTCTCTCTTTCTCCCTCCGTCTCTCCTTTTTTTTTTTTTTTTAAATCCGTGAGAACATTTTCCTCCTTCGGTTACGAGAGAAAAAAAAAAATAAAACATGACGACGAGATTAAAAATTCATCAGAAAAACCGCGAATCACGACCGCGCCAAGACTTTGCGCTTTTTTTTTTTTAAAGGCAAAAATTTAAATTTCGATTCGATTCTTCTAACGAAGGTCGACCGGCGGGAAAAATCAAAAAGGAGATGACAAGGAGGAAAAGACAAAGATGAAGGAATAAAAAGTGACAAATCGAAGAAGGAAGACAAAAAGAATGAAAGAAAGAAAGAAGGAAAGGAAGAGGAAGGACTAAAAATTCTTTTAAAATTCTATTCAAATTTTACAACGCGTATGATGATAATAATAATGATAATTAATGACGGTTCCCAATATGAAAAAAGAAAAAAAAAAAAAAAAAAAAAAGGTCGGATTACCTTTTATATATACATATCTAAGACATGTGGAACCTGATTCTACTAACCCTGGGAAAAGAAAAAATAATAATTCGAAATGCGACAAGTTGATTCTTGTCGTGTAAACAACGCACGCACACACACGCACTCACACACACACACAGACGCAGAAACTCGAATATAACTCAAGTGGGTTTTCGAAAAATGGGGAGAAAGAGAAAGAGAGAGAGAGAGAGGGAGGAGTATCAGGTTTTTGTTTTTGAAAATTTCAAACAAACAATCATGTGTTACCCTCAAAGTAGCTGAAATTTTTTCAAAAAAATAATTTTGGGGGTTCGCAACAAAACTTTCTAGGTACTCCTCCATCTTTCCAGTTCTAGGTACCAACCAAAGAACTAAGAAAAGAATCGTAAAAGGGTTTCAAACAATAATCATCGTACCGGGAGACAAAAATATCACATCGCCGTCTCGGGGGGGCCGTGTCGGAGTCGAATTAACAATAAGTAAATAAACAAACAATCACGATTATTTTTCCAACATGGCGTCGTTTAAATTCGTTAAAATTTCCCTTTCGAAAACAATTTTTCCCCCCCTCCTCTCCCCAGTTTTCGATAAATACAGTCGTAAATAACTTTTCATGTTCGAATTGATTCAATATTTGAAACCAATTAATAATTGTCTCATTTTTAATGTTTAATATTGTTTGTAAACAAACGAACAAACATTCAAAGTTCGTTCGTCGTGTCAATAATGACTACCGCCACCGCCACCACCACGACAACGATATACAGAGCACGTCACCAAAATCACAAAGCAGAAGATAAGAAGTAAAAATTTATAAATGACTTAACGACTACTTAATCGTCATTTTTTTTTCTTCTGTTTCACATTTCCCAACCCCCCGCTCCTCCTACTCTTACTCCTCCTCGATTTAAACTTCCGGTAAAAAAAATGAAATCGATCGATTTTGTTTTGACGGCGATATATCGACGATCGAGAATCGTTTGCTTCAAAAAACATCAAATATTCGTCGTACACCGTTGAACGTTTTTTTTTTTTTTTTTTCTCTTTAAATCAAAGTTATCGATTTTCCTCGATTCGAATTTAATACTCTCGCTTTTCATTTTTTCGTGTAACTCATAACCCGTCGTGTCGTGGCATTAAATAACAAAAAAAAAAAAAATAAAAAAAAATTTAAATTACTCACGATCATAGATAACATCGGGGGCCACCGACAGGTCGGTAGGTAGG